TTTCAACTGTGTCTTTAGGACATCTCCATGTTTCAGACCTCAAGATCGATGTAGTCCAGCGATTATTATCTCCCGATGACCAATTCAACGGATGTCATATCATTTAATCATGGTGTGGGAAGGCTGACCAAAATGAATAGATTTGGCTCGTTATGACATTTTATAGAAACAATCATACAGCATGATAGGCTTGTATTAAAGATGCTGGAATTAAATATTCCAAATTATATTTCATATAAACATCGTCTGTGAGCTTTTTTTTACCTGCTCCGTCAGTTTTGCAGACAACGTCAGCCGCTTCTTTTTAGACAGCACATCTCTCGTTCAAAATGCAAACGTGAAATACAAGCTCCCACTTGGGGCTTCAGAGAGTAGAGCTCACAACTCTGTTCCACAACAAGTTAGGAGATATTTTCAGTCGAATGACTGTGTGACGTCAACTACAACAACACCACCAGGCATACGGCATCAACAGGAAGCTGAAAAATGGGTTTTTTTTCCATGAGCATGATTACTTGCTGTTGATCGACTACTGAGTAAAGCGCACAAGCGTGCAAGTAGGCTTAGTCATGACGAGTTATGCCAACGTGGTGGTGCGTTCCGATGTGACCACCTGCGGTTTGGTTATATAGCCTTGGTATCGGAGTCAGTGCGCGACGCTTCAGCGGTCTTCATCGTGAACGATGCTCACGTCAATACGAAGCGAAGTCCACACGTAGCAATTCCCGCGTGCTTCTCATCTAAAGCTGTGCACGCTTTCAATTGGCACACCCAAAGTCGCATCGGGCGATGCTGTTTTCTTCATCGAATTAGTGGCGCATGGCCTGGACGAGCAATTGAGCAGGCATATGACATCACAGTCGCCTCGAATTGTCCCCGTGAACAAGGCCACCCCCAAGTTCGGTCGACTTCGCGGTGTCTTGCTGCTCCATGACTGTTGCTACGTATGGACGGAGCTTCACGTGTCACAACACGAATTATACCGTGGGCTGCATGGCCTTGTGACATCATAATAACAGATTGTATAACATCTTATGGCCCTTTACCATATCATATCTTACCGTATCCTCCATACATTATGGCTTCAAGCCACGTAGCTTAAAATACGTACGATATATATTATGCCATATGCAGTGCCATACTGCACTCATAGGTCACATGTACACGTGTGGCCGATCCTGTACGCACGTTTGTGTATGCGCCATCATATAACCGCTTCCCTCTTCCGAGTTTAAATAAGCTTATATGCTAAACATAACTCGTCACATATAGCTTAACTGCTACCGCACATATTAAGGCTTTAACGTATAACACAGTATACATGTACATTTTAGAACATCCATGATGGGGAAAAGCCAATTTAACTACTGCACACAGTGTACACATTGTCATGTGTTCATACTTCAACATGAACGCGTGCACCGATTCCATTATTTCTATACTTATACTTTAGTCTTCCAATTAAAGTAAATTCCAATTACACCATCAGAATCATGTTGCCACGAGATGAAGACAGATCCACTCAGAGCAGTGACTCACCCTGTTAAAGAACAGCCTCCAAACAATGTCACAGGAGGAAAGTAGTTCTCAATTCCCTTCCACAGGGCTCATATCAATACTCGTTGGCCCATATTTTAATATGCCCTGCAAAGGGTGTTTGTCAAATGGTAATCATACTTAAATAGATCATCCAAAAAGCTTGAATATGTCATCATAATGAAAAGTTAATTCGATATGCTGCGTTATTTTTTGTACAACCCACTGGTGACTGCGCTGAGGCCATCAGCGCATTAGGCTTGAGAACACGGTTGAATCATGGGTGACCGATAATTCAAATCCCCCATCCTGGAGATGCCAGGTCAGTATCAAACATGGAATTGGCACCCTGAGCCACCCAGCCAGATTTTCATAGATTACGTTAAGTTCTAAAATAAGGAAACTATGACCTGAAGCAAGCCTGTCATTCAAACATCAATAATTAATTTCCCTTCAAAGAGATTTAATGTCCCAGTTTGATCGTTTGTTTAATCAACCTAAGAATGCATTTATATACAAGCTTAATCTGCGTATCATTTAGCATTGATCTGACATTTTTGTACCATCTTGGCGTGGAGGTCTTATGGTTTGACTTAAGAATGTGACCTCATGCAGAAATACAGACCTTATTTAAATAAAGATTCCGTGATTCATACATTCCAACGTGAGCCTGCATTTTCATGGGTAATGGTGTTAATCAAATATTATTTTTAAAAAACATCCTATTTTTATTATTGTTATTATAATATTTCAGATTTCGCGTAAATAATACTAAAAGGGGAGGATCTTAGGAGTGAAACCAGTCCCATATGTACCCAAGGTGGCCCGGTACCGTAATGGTCTTATTTTACAAAGGCAAGAAACAATTAAGTATAAATATTTGTGGACATATTCTTGGTTCTTTCGGTAAAGTCACGTATAAGGGAAACAATAAAATAATAAAAATATAAAACGTAATAAAATTCTCACGACGTTTCGACTGCAACACAAGCAATCATCATCAGGTGTGAAAACCACAGCAAGAAAATGTGCTGTGGTTTTCACATCTGATGATGATTGCTTGTGTTGCAGTCGAAACGTTGTGAGAATTGTATTGTTTTATATTTTTATTATTTTATTGTTTCCCTTCTACGTGACTTTACCGAAAGAACCAAGAATATGAATCCCTGCAGTCATGAAAGCTTTAAATCAAAATTTATTTGTGGCTAGTTTGTGTTCTCCTCTCAATCTTTGAGAGCACACAAACACCTCAAATAGGATTTGTACAAACGTCCTAAGCAGTACCCTCCTGCAAATACAAGTCTCGAGACTCAACCTTACCAAGTCAAACAAGCGCATACAAAACATCTGATCATTGTGGCAAGTGTGCTCAACTCAACAATTGCAAAGTTCTGAGTTCAAACACCGGATGCTGGTCGAATTAGCCAATCATCTCTCCTGGGTTGCAAAGCCACTTTGTGAAACGTGAACAATGTGCCTATGTCACCGTAATTTGAAATATCCATGACTGGTTCAGGGTCACCAACGGATATGAACACCGTCTCATTTGCAGCACCAAACCTCTGGAACATTACGCACAATCGACTCCATCACTACATGCACGTCACAACTCAAAAACACATCTATCTATGGGACCGTTTTGCCAGTATCAAAATTATGAAAACAATAACAATAGGCGTTACCTTTTCTTTGCGCTTGCATACAACGGCTAACTCCCAGCCGCAACTTGCTTTCATTGTTTTAATGTTTTAAATAGCTTTATAATTGTCTATTTGTTCTGTCTCTCTCGCTGCGGTATAGAATTGTATATATATTTTTTATGTTTATGAGTATAAATGTGATGGGCGTTTTGCGTGGCAGATTTGTGGCAGAAAGTCGCCACGTGTTTAACCAAAAATAAAATCGACTTGAACTTAACCATTTCACGCTTGTTTTAGAATACAGTTGGTATATCGCTTGTGTCTCATTTACAATAATTACAGTGATGCAATACAGACTGTTAGCACCACCTTCATACAAAAGTGACAATTGAGCTTGGGGCGACGCGTACGTTAGAGCAGCAACTTTAAAAGAAAGCGTGGATTAGCTTTAGTCACAAACAAAGAACCGCTGGCCTTCGAGAGAACGACTACTTTCCCACGTCCACGAAACAGCGATACCGACATGTGATCTCGAATACAACCACTATTCTAAAGTTCCGTGTCTCGATCGTTTCTAAGCACCACGCGATCACTCCTAATCATGCTAACAAAAAAAACCCTGTCCTCCAATTACAAACTGACAGCATTGCAGATCATTTGTGGATGATGCACACTGGTGGGAGCACAGGCGTTGACATCAATACCTTTTTGCAATATTTGGTGTACCTGTACAAGTCTCCATTATTAAGAGCAACATTTTGAAATTTTATATTTTAGTGTCGTCATTTTACAAAATGTTATAAATATATCTTATAATCGCGTACTCTGATGCACACTTTTGCCATTACATGCAGTGTAGAATTTTTTGTCAAAAATGAATGACTTTATCTATTTTATTTTACAAAAAAACAACCACTGTTTACGACACTATATGCATTATTGTATATCGTAAAACTTTGTTGACGCTTCACCAATTTCGCTAATTAAAAAAAAACCCGATTGTGTGAATCAGTGTGGTTGCTCGACTTTGCGTGATTAAGGCCGATTGTGTTTACAGGTAGACAGCAGGACGTGCTGTAGATATCTTCGCCAGAGCAGCAGTCAGCGCCTGTGTTTTTTTCTTGATCCATGTGGCACTGACCCAGAATGCTAGAGTCACATAATGAAAGTTAAAATCGCTCTTTTTGGGATTGACTCAGCCCTGTCATCCCCTCTGGGATTGATCACATGAGTTATATACTTTGTGGGAATTTCCAACAGTGGCACGAGGATGGCATTGGGGGGTGAAAATCACCCCGGGCTCGTTTGAGTGGGAAGCCGCTTTTTTTCTTTGTGGGTTTTTACTTTTGCAAAATGTAATTTAAATCTGTTACGCATGTTGAAAATTAACTTCACAATACATTTTAATATATTATTAGCTCTTTCGGTAAAGTCACGTTGAAGGGAAACAATAAAATAATAATATATATAAAACAATAAAAATTCTCACGACGTTTCGACCATAACACAATCAGGTGTGATGACCGTTTGTGTTATGGTCGAAACGTCGTGAGAATTTTTATTGTTTTATATATATTTTATTATTTTATTGTTTCCCTTCAACGTGACTTTACCGAAAGAGCTAAGAATATGAATTACTGCAGTCACGAAAGCTTTAAATCAAAAATACATTTAAACTCAATTAAAAAAAAACTTCCTTTTGAAATCAGCTCAAAGTCCAATTTGCCACAAATTATTTTGAAGTACAGCCAAGTGCCATACAATTCAACACATTTTAATTAAATTGAAAGTGTCTCCCCGTTCGAATGAACAAAGGGTTGAAACGCATTTCTATGAGCAGTCCTGAGCCAGTGGTAGACAATCCACATTCCCATGGTGTGGGCAGTGTCATTATCGGACAAAACCTTGTTGACTTCTCACAGCGATACATTGAAAACTAATTTCTTTATAACTGCTTTTTATGTTTAGTTTGTTGTCCTATCCCCGCACCTCAGATTAGCACGATTGGCTACGTACGGTGCGAAAAATGTTCAACATACATACGTGATATTAATTTCTCACATTCCAATGACCCCACAGAGAAGATGGCCTGAGTCAACCCCTGGACCCATGATTTCAACCTTACGATTGTGAGTCCCGCACTTAACTACTGCTCCAACTAGCCAGGTATAGTATTGTTTCACCAAAATGTAGTTGCAACTTATATTTTAACTTTACATTATGGCTATATTCCATAAGCAGTTGCATACTCCTGTAAATGAAGTCACAGGGTCAATAACATGACTTAATTTCAGCCTTAGCTGTTCAGGGCTGAGCTCCAGAAAATATCCCCCCCACCCGTCCCTCGGGTGTTGAGGGGCGGGTGGGGGGAAATATTCGAATTAAGGTCAGGTGATGAATGTATCTTTCACAACACTGCATTGGTGCACCATAGTCATCCCACCGAGCCAGTTTACAAGCAGCAAACTGGCTCTCAATGGCGAGTGCATTAACAATTTTCTGACCCAGTTGTCATCCTCAGTTGCACAGATTTAAACCGGCACCACGTTATTGTACCAAACATTGAGACTCGGGGTCTCTGAGCCGCCCTGTCAGTCCAACGCATTATATTACAATCAGGGTTTTCTATTTCATGAGTGACCTTCTAAGTAGCTCCTTGTAAGGTTTAATTTATTTCATGACATAGGAGCTCTATGAACCTTTAAATGATCAGTTAAAACACTGCCTGTGCCAAACATTTTCACAATATTGGTGGAGCCACTCCCGGTAATGTTCAGCACAATTGGGCTGATGTGAACACGTTCTCATATGGATCCTTTAAAGGCACCCATGCACCACCGTTCCACGATCAGCTCACCCTACCATGTAGCAAGGCTGAAATCCCAATTAAGGGTCAACATTAATGTAGCACCATTTGCATTGACAATGTGCACCTCTATGGATAAGAGGATCTGATACAGTGAGCACGGAGCAGAAATTCCATATCGTCACTGCTTCGCGGTGACAATTCACATTGACAAACATTTAGAATCAGGTCAGCTGGTGATTCTAGCCTCGCGTGTGCAGCTTTTTAAAGTATAGAGACCCTTTCTCTAACGTATCACCCCAACCAGCAAGGCCCAGAATCCTTACACAGTTTGGCCACAACATCTAAGTCGCCCTTGAAAAAGAGACTTCTAGCCTCAATGGGCTCTTACCTTGTTATATATAAAAGTAATGTATAGATCTATCTACCCATTTATCCGTTCACTGCTGACAAATTGAATTCAAAGTAAAAGCAATGTCCCACCCAGAGTGTGGTTAAGAGGAGGGGATTGGAGAGGAATGGATGGGCTGACCCTTGTCAAACGCAAGCACACTTCTGGTCCGGGTGGTGGGGATTACAAAATGAAATGTGATGTCCGAGGAAGTCGATGGTCAGTCGCAAAGACCCTTCCAAACGGGGTCACCACAGATATATATACCACACACACTTGCCAAACTTTTGACTGTAATATCTCGCAATTGCTCACCTCGCCTGAACTGATATTGTGGGTTTAAAATACGCTATGGCAGGACATTTGTAGCCAGTGTTCAGGTGACTGCATGCCTTGTTGTATGGCATGCCATATTATAATGTGGGTGATGTGACCTTCAGAAGTGATTCACCACCACAAGTGGAATATTCCTCATGGACATCCTATCCATGCATGGTCACATGGTATATAGTAAGAAATTATTGGAATTCAAACTGGATTTTGGTTGTACATATAACATCCAACCATACCCCATACCTCCCAATGTGAGTACAGATTCGCTGCAGCCTTAACATACAAATATAAGTCGTCAAATATTTTGCACATGAATTGCATTAGAGTACAGAAAGGCTCAGGACAGCACCAACGCTTGTTCAGCGCTGCTTGACTTAAATGCTGGACACACTGGGCGATGGGACAGGTGGCCAGCACACACATTTTTTTTGGCACAAATGTGGTTCACGGCTGGTATTGGTTGAACATTATCAACGAAATACTGTAAATTTAATCGAAAACCTATTTTAAAAAATGTAAAAGATGGAAACAAATTTAAGAAATTGCATTTTTCTTCTTTTACTTAGATCACGCCTGAACCCAATTAAGTCCCAGCATGCATCGCGTACACATAATGGCGGACACTTATTACTTCCGCCTCGTAGTATATTCACAGCGACATCAAAATGCTAAGCTACCACTTGGCTCTAGCCTAACATGCGAGCGGAAAGCGACGCTGGTATTATACAAAACCTAATTGCTGTTGACGTGTTGTTGTTGTTCATTGCTCGCGTCGGTCAGTGTTGGTCTCCTTGACCGTACCTTTGGAGTCATGGAATTTCCACCACCTGCTCAAGGACGCCGTTTGAGCATGGTGACACCTTGAACTTTTATTTAACCTGCATTGGTCTCAGCTGCATGGCAGCACAGTCCAGAGGAGGAGTAAGAGATAAGCGGCCACCTCACGAATGGAGAATCAACGTTTTCCTGAGAGGTGTATTCTATAAACAACTGCTGGTGGGTTTTGCCAGGATAAAAGCAATACTCGTAGACTGATTGAAAAAAACACCGAAAGCTTATGAGAAGCACCTTTTAGCGTCTATCGGCCACGAACAATTGTAATGCATTTGCTGCATAAGTTTGGCAAGAAGTGCCAAAGTTGCTCAATTTGGTGAACTACCCACAATTTCCCAAATCCCACATCGTCATTTCACCAATAAATACCTCCTATAAACACCTACGTGCCAAGCGCTCAGCCGAGTTGAGAGAGCTCTCTGGAACTGCAAAGGTTTAGCTGCTTTTTTGCTGTCTAGGTATAATTTCTGTTCATATATTCTCTCCTGCTCCAACCACGACCAGGTGGATCATTTGTATCCCAGTCAGGGGTCGACAGCCTCTCAACTTTCCTGGCTCAATGAGCACCACTTTGTGCAAAGTCCTACGAATATACTGGCCTCTGCACCGGTAATGTGGAACTGCATCCACTTGCTCAGGGCCACCACCAGAGATGAGCACCACTTGAGAGACTTTTGACAAGATTTCAAATTCATCACTCCGATGGGACGAAAGGCCTCTCTCATTTTGGCCAAATAGTATAGGCACTGTCTTTAACAGCACTCTAGAGGAGCATTGTGGTTGGAGTGTCCGAACCACTCAGCAGACATTGCTCACGTGAGTTTGGCCCCCCAATGCGTATCCTCAGTTTCTCACTCTCCTATCCGACAATGCGCTTTGTTGTTTCGTCTGGCGACTGGTGGCCCCCTCTAAGAGTCTGGGGGAATGTGCCCGCCGTATTCGAGCGTGCATGGCTCTAAGGGCCCGACAAAAAATACTCATGGAAACGGGACCCGCGCGACTGTAGGGAACACGAGGGCGGTGTGAGTGCAGACACCCGCTCGTTTCAGTGATGTTGGGCAAGCAGGTGTCACATTTCCCTACATCTGAGAGAGCCTACAGCAAGCACAAACTTCGACTCGCAGCATTCCCGATCGAGAGTAATCCTGCCGAACTCAGCAAACTAGTGTTATGAACCATTAAGGTTCTGCCTATCTATTCATTGAGTGAATATAGTCGTGACTTTACCGAAAGAACCAAGAATATGAATATAGTCAATTATGCAAAACTACTGGGCTTCTTCGCATATGTGCATTGACCCTTGCTTGCCAAAATTACAACGGCATTGCTGTATTTGTGGCACCAATTTCCAGACTTGTTCCTCGAAGCCTTTTCTGCACAAAATTGTCACGAGGTTGAAGTCGAAGCCACTCTTTGCTGGTTCCATAACGGCTCCGCTAAGTCAGGCTGTGCCCGTAGCTTACGGCTCGACGGCAGAAAAAAAGCGCCTGTGCAATACCCACGGCAAACTGAGCATTGCCAAACCCAAGGCGGAGCGATGTGCACCGCTCCGCACCCTCCGCCCCCATCGACGTTAAGAGCGGCTCGCGTCTCTGCGCCTTCGGTCACTGCCCCGATGTTTCTTGTTTTACACCATCAAACTTGCTGCTCAGCATTGAGCAGTACCCCACTGGCTGCGCAAACTAACTTCGAAGCGATGTTAGGTCCCACTTGGAACGTTTACACGCAGAACGTTTACACCGGTCATCCGGCCTCGAGGGATGGCTGTCCGTCACCGTAGCGATGTCGACTCCGTACCACTGGCTCGGGGGAGATGAGCGCTGTCCAATGCGTGTTTGAACACGGTGGTGGTGCGGGGGGGGGCACACTTTGATTTGAGTACAGAGGCAGTCAGGTGGCCAACAATCGACAAACATTGCTCCCGTTGAGTATCTGGAGACCTCAGAGTGAATTCGCCTTTCAAGGAAAATAAACCTCTACCGCAATTCCACCTTACAGCCGCGGAGAATTCAGGCACGAGACGCGCTGTAAACGCCGGCAATGAAATGCAGCCAACAACCGACAATGCGATATTTTGCAATGGGGAGGAGGAACAACCAGTATGGGGTGGAGCAAACTAGCCCGTGAAATGCTAGCCCTACCCCTAACCAACCGAGCTTTGTACTGGTTATTCCACTCCCCCTTAACTCCACGTCTGCAACTTCATCGCATGCCCTGTTGTTTTGTTTGTTTCACAGCTTTGGCGGTCACAGTGCCTTGGTGTGCGGTAGTTTTGGCGTCCTGACCAACAGGGGAGTACAGGGGTGCCGGGGGGTGGAGGGGGTGGTACCATCAGTTCTCTTCAGGGCCCACTTGGCCTCTCACGGGAAGCACATCAGGTCTGTACGTGACCATTACCACGACGTTCGGTGCCCTCGGAAGGACCTGCTCATGCATTAACGTCGACTCACCATTAGGGGGCTCCGTTTTACACCAAAAGTTTGGCGACGCTTTAACGACAATGTGGCAAAAGAAAACTCGGCCACCAACACTACCAAAGTATACAATTACCGGGGTTTGTGGCGAGATCTAAATGCATCGGATGTTGCTGTTCTGGCATTGACCAAAGTCGCTAACACGTATCGTTTCTCTAAGCTGGTGGCAATGGTCGTTTGTCTTTTGAATTGTTGAATTTTAATAAATATTTCTTTAAATAAAATGTAAGCAATTGGTACATGCCAAGTAACAGTAGTCTACACAGTGATAATAGAGTAATCACACAGTATTACTTTGGTAATTTTGATGACAGTAAAGCGTTATTTCTACTGTCTTCCTCCCCGCCACTGCAAGCAAAAAGGTTCTATGATAACCACCCTTCGTAATTAACCTCTGCTACGCACTGCACGCCTATATTATAACATCCACTGTGGAACACCGTGTGTGCAAGACACCATTTTCTTAGTCACCCCCCCCCCGCCCCCCATTTCAACCCAAACGTAAAATGCATCATTTCATCAGGGGGAGGTACTCAGTGTGGGAGACATCTGGGGGGGTGGGCTGTACCAATTCCGGTAGGGGTATGTGCCAACCCTCATCCTCACTCTGCATCTCCAGCAACGCAGTAGAAACGGCAGCTGGTATCGGCGTGACAGATAAGCAAATCCCCCACCTGTGGACAATTCCATGAATCGAATGTTCTTGTTGGAGCAAAGTTCTAAAATGCGTTCATTTCGACGTGCCCAGCTCTCGCGTTTCTGTTTCTATACTTTGCAAGTCTGGCACAGTGACCTGTGCAGCATTTGCGTCACGTCGTTTAATTTGGTAAGTGCTTCCGAGGATTCGTGAAGATGCCGCTGGTAGCAACGGGGCTCAAACGGTCGCCGTGGGCCGTGCCGCCGCCACCGCCGCCGCCTCCTCCTCCGTCTGCACGTCTGGAGGCTCCAGCCCTGTGTGCAGCGTCACCTGAACAAGAAGGCACGGGGCTCCTGTTAGCGAGCACCTATTAAGGCCAAAAGACGTACCTGCCCATGCCTGATGCAGGCCCCTGCACACAACTGCACGTGAATTGTTCACGATCATACGGAAGAAGTTCAACATACATACACGTGTAGGTTGTACGTATGTTGTTGAACTTCTTTCGCACCGTACGTAGCCAGCCGTGCTAATCGGAGGTTTGCACATCATCAGCCCTCAAACCTTATACGCCCCCGTCATCTGAATTATTCTCATTTTGTTACCGATTTGTAAGCACCTGCACGTTGCGGTTGAGGCTGATGGCCGGGAAGAAGATGCCCTGCAGGTCATGAAAGGCCACGGGACCCTGCGGCTCATCGTTGATGAAGAAGGCGAGGATGCGTCGCGTCAGGTCGAGTAGCACCCCGACCGTGGCGCCCTTTGCGATGCCGCCCTCCGTCCTGCGGCGAGGGCACAGGCGGGCACACAAAGGCAAGTTTCAAGTTTATTGAGTTTAACGAGGTGAGGACTCAATGGGAGAGAGTGAGCGACCGGGCACACCGAAGTGCCGAAAGCAAGCAACGTGTGAACAAGTACAGTACCGTAATGGAGCAAACAGAAATCAGAGAAAAAACAACCACGTTGCGGAAGAAATCGAAAATGGCGTACAAACATCAACAATTTTACGTACAGAAATACATTTCCGGGAACAAAAGTCGGCTCTGACATGTTCATTTGCAAAAGCATTCACAGTAAAATGAAGTTAGTAAACATCAGAGACCCATCACTTTTCTAGATTTGAAGCTTTCGTGACTGCAAGGATCCATACTCTTTGGTTCTATTAAGTAAAGTCACGTAGGTAAAAAATAAAAAAAACAACAAAAATCACGACGTTTCGACCACAACACAAGCGCTGTCCTCGAGACAGTCTGGTCCCTTCACCTGATGAAGGCCGCTTGTGTTGTGGCCGAAACGTCGTGATTTTTTTTTTTACACCTACGTGACTTTACCGAACAGAACCAAAGAGTATGGACCCTTCACTTTGCCTAAGAGACCCGAGAGCAGGGGCTCCCGGCCTGCGATCCGCGAGCCCCTGCCGTGGGAAAGGGGTCTGCGGAACCGTTGCAGATACTCCACTTCGATTTTATTTATTTTATCCCACAAAAAAAAAACCCACAAGATTACTTTACCCGTCCTTTGCACGACTACGCACGTGTAACGCAATGCTCCACGACACAGCTGGCCGTTGAGCGAATCTGCCGATTGTCGACATTGGTCAACCCCTCAGCATGCGAGCGTGGTGAGGGTGTTTACCTGTGTGTGTGCGAGTTGTTGTGCATGAACCAACTCCGGTTGTTGTCCACGTACATGGCCCAAGCCCGATCGTCTTTACCTGGATGCACACAAACACAGATACAGTAAAACCTTGGATTGCGAGCATAATTCGTTCCGGAAAACGTGTTTGTAATCCAAAGCACTCGTATATCAAAGCACTCGTATATCAGTTGTGATCACGTGACGCTCGGCAGACAAAGCGTATACGTGCTACTCGTATTGCAAGACCTCGCTCGTTTATCTAATTAATATTTATTTAAAAATTTTGATCGTCTTGCAAAACACTCGCAGACCAAGTTACTCGCAATCCAAGGTTTTACTGTACTTAAGATTCCCCCATTCAGCCTCTTAGTAGATGGCAGCAGCGAGCGCTGTAAGCCTCGTGCGCCTTTTAAGTGGCTGCTCGCTTATTTGGCTGGTGTGATTGCCACAACGTCCGGGCCACCCGTGTCTCCTCAGCGCTGCTCTTAATACACCGCATGAGTGACTCATTTAAGGGCAAGTCAGCCTAGGGAATGGTCAAGACAGGCTCAAAAATGCAATTATCCACACCGGTATGAACGCAAGCACACATGGCTGGGAACGAAACGTAGGTGGCCGGGATTGCAGAGAAATGCACTCAATCGTTGCAACACCACTCCACATGCGCACACTCAACGGGGGAATGTTCTCCACTGCACTGCACCAATGCAAAGATGAGAAAATTAACTTCATTAGCTGTCTGCCTGGTGCGGTGTTGGCACATGCCTGCAATCCAGCACTTTGGATCGCACACGCAGAGATCGATGTGCGATTCCCTCTTGGAGGGCTTATTAAGTATCATTGAAAGCGGAACATAAGTACTACCTTACAAGTCTCAAGGTAACGGAGCAGGCTTGCAATATCCTGCTCATGCCACTCTAAGCAGAAGGGTCTCCATATGAGGGTGCTTCAAAGGGCCGCCCTAGAGGGTATTTGGCCTACTCTTTCACGCTGGTGGTGAACCCAACTACGCTGCTGGGTGGACAGAGGCAGGAGGGAGGATTTCGGAAACCTCTCCATTCATTCATCGACCACACCGGGAGATCGAATCGGACCGGTGACCTCTGCGTTGTTAGTCCAGTGTGCAGCTGACCGTTACAACCATGGCACGGCCCGCCACTGCATCGTCGAGCCATCCCTGGAAGTGGGTCGACCACCAATCCACGAGTTCGAAGCCCGCCACACGCACCCACCAAACCCACCCAGCATCGCGTCCCTCGTGACGTCGAGGCGCGCGACCCCGAACGCGGGGTCCGGGTGGTTGTCGTAGCGGTCGACCGTCACCTCCCAGTAGTGAACTCCGCGCGTGAACCCCGCCGAGCCCAGCACGACGCGCTCGTCGTAGCTGCTGCACGACGCCGTCAGGTTCCCGTTGCTCAGGATCACGTCCTGGTGGGCGGAGCTGGGGTCCAGCGAGAACCACGCCACTTTGGAGGGGGGGCAAAGCAGAGGAGGAGCAGACACAGTACGTACAGGCCATAAAGCACGTGGAGTCAAGATCAAGATTAGAGTCACGGTCAAGGTTAGGGTTATCATCGTGGGATTAGGATTATGGTGTGGATGGGGTTAGTGTCAAGGTAAGGATTAGTGTTAGTACCAGGCCAAAGTTAGGTAGGTCACAATTAGTTCAAAGTCGAGGTTAATGTTGAGATTGGGGTTAGGATTTGAGTGTCAATGGTATGGTTAAAATTTGGGTGAGAGATGAGGTTCGTTTCAAGCCAAGAGTCAGGGTTAGTGTTATGGTCAGGCCACCAGGGTCAGTGCGATTCATAGGTTAGGATTCAAGGGATTGGGTTACGCGAATGGGTTAGGATCAGGTTTAGAGTTCAGGTTAGGGTCAGGTTGAAGAGTTAGGGTAAGAGTTATTAGGATTACCGTCAAGTTTAGTTAGACTTATGCACAGATTTAGGGTAAGTTTAAAAGTCAGGACCAGGGCCAGGGTTGTGGTCAGGGTCACCGTTAGTGTCGGGGTCAGCGCTACCCTCGGAGGTGTGCAGCACCACGGTCTTGCTGTGGGGCCCGACTCCAGCTTTGTTGAAGGCCTTGACGCGCGCGCTGTAGGTGCTGCTGAAGTGCAGGCCATCCACGGTGCACAGCGTCTCCGTGCCCACGTACACCTCCTGCAGACACAGCGCGTGTCTACTAGGGTCGCCAACCCTCCCGGATTGGCTGGGAGTCTCTAACCAGAATTGGCATTGATCACCGGGTGACGAGTGACAGGAAATACGGGAGATTTAAAATCGGATATTTTAAGAAAATGTATTAATATAATGAATGCGCATAATTAGTACGGATATTCATAATTATTCAAAACTTTAACGGTGTCATCTTATTGCATTTTTTCTTTCTTTTGGCAGTCATGTTGGGAAAATAATTATCCCGGAATAGCTCCAGTGAGAGTTGGCAACCCTATACGTGTCCCAGTGCATTTCTGGCTAAATAGTCATCTCTCGCACCTCGGATTAGCACGATTGGCTATGTACGGTGCCACAGAAGTTCAACATACGTGCAAAGCATGCCCTGCTACTGCAGTCATTTCCAAAATCACAGAATTAGCTTTTGTCACTTAATTATAGAAAATCCAGCTTTGGAGTGAGCAAGTGTGTCAGCCCACTACGAAGTGTTTTTTAGAAACACAGTGCGAGATGTACATTGGCAGTGGCACCCGCACCCAGAAGTGGCATCCAGAAGTCAATCATCACAGAAAATACGGTAAAGCTAAATCATGGGATACTTTGCAGCAATATACCTTGTGGGTGTTGGGGGGGGGGGGGGTTAGGAGTTGACTGTGCAACAGCTGAGGAATCTAACAAATCGGATCTGGTCCGTCTCAAATATCCTCTGTGTGTCACCCGCGTGTGTTGGCAGTGATGTATCGGCTAAGACCAAAACCACGGCACCATCATCGTTAACACTGCCCCGTGGCGACGGTCGGTCATGAGGTGTAATTGGTCTATTCTAGATTTGAAGTTTTCGTGACTGTAATGATCCATACTCTTGGGTTATTTCGGTAAAGTCACGTAGGTAAAAATAAAGTTAATCAAATCACGACGTTTCGGAGGCAACACAGATGACGGAAGCTTGTGTTGCCTCCGAAACGTCGTGATTTGATTAACTTTAATTTTTATTTTTACCTACGTAACTTTACCGAAAGAACAAAAGAGTATGTAATTGGTCTCCCCGCGTCGGTGCCGTCACTCCCCCTGAATTCCCCCTGCCTACACTTTGCCGCCCATCCTGGATTTTCGAGTCAGCCGCCCTGTGAAAGCTGAAAAATCTTCCAGAAACATTGAAACTAACATTTCCGCCAGTTGGTCAGCTACACCGTAGATCTCCCCTCGTCCTGTATCATGAGATAATCTTTCTTCTCATGATATGCGCCGTGTTTGTGTACCGAATAGGTCGGGGGTCGACAACCTGCGGCTCTTTAAGGACCTCTTCGTGAGGCTATTAAGGACCACCATCTCGTATTCACACGCATTGCGGACCTTGAAATGTTGAGGGGTTCTTTTGTTTTACCGAATTCCAAAAATATGGCTCTTCTTGTCTTTTTTGGTTTCCCGGACCCCTGGAATAGGTGTAAAACCCAACCCACGAGACTCTCCCACAACCCCATGTCACGTGCGGTCCCCGGACCCTGAATAAGCCCTCAGTGCCATCGTCGAGCTCCAGGACGTATCCCTCGATGTTGGCCGATGACAGCGGCGACGCCTTCCACGACAGCGTGGCGCTGTTGGTCTGCGTCGAGCACTCCTCCAGCTGCAGCAGTGGGGCGGCCGGCACGGCCGGCTGGGCTGGTTTGGGAGCAGCAGGGGACACGGCGTACGGGAAGGCAGGGATGGGGAACGCGGGCGGTTACACACGGCAAGAACTCGTTTAACGTGGTAGATGCGTTCCTGAAAAGCGCCGCGTTACACGGGAAGAAGGCGTTAAGCGAAAACAATTTCCTCATCAATGACGTGACGATAAAGTTTGGCGAGATGCGACGTAAGCACGCACAGTGAGGTGGCGGGACAAATAACTAAGAGTACGCCACCGCGTAACTGTATCATGCCACGTACTGTATCGCACCGCTCAGCCGCTCAACTCAAGAAAGTAATTCGTCGCGAGCCGCTCTTAAACCATGTTCGAATGGTGCGTGGTCCGTGTTATAATAATGAGCCGGGTTTCGCGTTATAATGTGCCCGTTCCGTGTCATGCGGAAAGTTTTTCCTCGTGGAAGAACCCGCGTGATAGCGAACACGCATTTGCTGAACACGCTCTTAAGCGAGGAATTACCGTATAAAGAAGGGCATGTCAAGAGAGTACTGTAGAGCAGACGCTCAGCGGTTAGCGCACAAACCACATGTTCATCTAAGGTGGTGGCTGCTCGCTGTGCAGTGAGTCATAGCTAACAGATATCTACTGAACTACCCACCTCTGGGAGCAAACGTAATACAAATACAAACAAACGCGCTTGGAGCGGTGGAACATCGTGGTTGGGCACGGCACTATGAACCCGGCATTCTACGTTTGATTGCTGGCAATGGCTAACACTAGTTGTGAGTGGTAATCTGAACACGTCCTGGAACACCCTCTGTGCCAACCTGCAGTGACCAGCGTGGTGAAGTACGGTCAACCTAGCCCCATGACTGACACAAGGAGACCCTCGTCTAAGCAGTGAATAGTCAAAGGGCGAAACTATATCATGTCCACAGTGGCAGGTGGAGGGAGATTAGCACAAGCACAAACAACCAAAATACTTAAGAAATTATGCGAGGCACGAATTTATGTCTCTGCTGGGACATCTCACCAAAGCACAAAAAGGCCCAGTCACGCTCTGCCATCTACTGCTGAACACCAGTTTCAGATTCTCAAAACGTTCAAATCTTTTGTTCGGAGTCGACTCAACTCGGCATCCCTCTGGGTCAATAAATGACCACATTGTGGGGAGTCAACGGTGGTTGTCCTATGAAGAAAGTGGTATTTCAACCACTGGCTCATTGCCACCAGGACGCCATGCCATATGCGGTTTTGTTAAAGGACACACTTTGACATTACTGTTTTTTACTTAACTCAGAATATTCCATAGCTGAAGACTTAAAATGTCAGCTTCGATGTTATGCGATGAGCACTCTTCTCGAAGCATGTGAACAGAACTCCACCGAGTTTGTATGACAGGCTTCCATCCTGAACATCACTTCAGAATTAGTTCTTTGACATTGCAGAGGCCGCAGGAATGTAGACTTTCTACCACTGTCTGAAGGCGGCCAACGAAGCGTTGTCCCCTTGTTCGTTCGAGCAGCGAGACACTTTAACTTTGGCTTCGTGAAAGGACAAAGCGCCGAGGGGGTAGGTCTTCTGCAGCAGCGGTGGCGGCGGTGACAGAGGTGTCAGACCAAGACGAATAAAGCGGCTTAGGGCTCCTCCGCTCCTCCGGCTCTGGCTCGAGAGTGCAACGGCTCTGTCGTGCATCTCCCGCCCAGAGCAGAAAATCAATTGCACCAAATAAATCAGTTTTGTGGGGAGGGATAGAGCGCTGTAATCCACAGGCGGGAGTGTGTGGGGCGTGCGCCGCTAGCCCTTGGGTCATTACAGCAGGGACCATTTATAACGCGGTACTGCGGTTTCAGTTCCCTCAAGCCACACAGCTCCTAGGGCTGCAACTGTCGGTTTCACGGTTATTAATATTACGTAGCTCAGGGTGTGTATTTTTTGTGGTACAAAAAATATATATGTGCATAATATATAAAAACCATGTTGGTATCTATATATCATCATCATCGACGTCGTTAGCGATGAACAATCCACTGTGGAATGAGGGCCTCCCCAAGCCGTCCCCACTTCTCTCAATCTTGTGGTGCCACAATCGATCCACAACCTGCACATGAACCGATCTCATCGGTGGACACCGTCTATATAGAAGCGGTTTAATTTGTCTCTTAGTGTGTCGGTCACAGCATGTACTTTTCATCATACAGAGTCCAGCGAGGGCTCAATGGGACCAGAATAAGACGGGATCCCACGATCATTGAACATGAGCTATTTATGACCTTATGACCATTATGGTAGGTCAAAAAAAATACTTGACCCAATTTGTGTAGAATGTTGAGGAAGGTTAGGGCCGGGGGGGGGGGTGCTAATGGCAGAAGGGGGAGGGGCAACAGAGGTAAAAAATTACGTTCATGAGAATGAGTTGGTGCACCGCCTGGCATGCGATAAGCGCACTGAGCATCACTCTTGCGTTCAGTTTAATTGGCAATTGCTGTTTTGGAAAAGTGAGGTGAACAAGTTGTGAAGAGTGGTTGACCTGGGCAAGGAGCTGGATATGTTGTGGATAGAGAGGCAAGCATGTTGGATAGCGTGTGAAAAACCATGGAGGGAGATATTGTGGTTTCATAAGGTGATATAACGTGTATGGAAGCAGACATTCTGGGAAATGATGTAGATATGTTGTGTTTGGAGGCAGATTTGTTGGCTATGAAGGTGGATATGTTGACTGGCAGGCAGACATGTTAGAGGACGCCACAGTGGCGAGATGCTAACTACCGACCCGGGTATGCAAGAGGTCGTGGATTCGAGCCAGACCCTGACTCCTGTATATTTGGAGTTTCCGTGTTCTCCCCGTGATCACGTGGATTTTTTTCCGGGCCCTCCGGTTTTCCCCTCCACATTTAGAAACACGCGTTGAGAGTATTTGGATGCTATACATTTCCACATAAGACACTTTGTTGAGCTATCATTTGTGACCAGGTCACTTCTAAAAAATAACTGTATAGCTCAGTGGGCCTTACCTAATTAAATAAAAGTTAATTAAGTTAATTGTTTTAGGATGGGCTGACAGGGACGATGCCCTGTTCATAGGAAGGTTTTCCTGTAGTTTTTAATAAACCAATAATTTATTTAATATATAAATTTACTAAGCAATTATTACATTCAGGTGGGTCTGTAGTTAGAGCATTCAACGTGTAAGTTTAAATAACCGGCGCGGGGTTGTAATAGCAGGACACCAACGCATTCTTCACTCTATTTGTGTGAAGCTGCTAAGAATGATGCCTTTATACGTAAGGGCTTCTATAGGTACTTTGCTTTCCTCCCACACATCAAACACTAATGAATGGAATTGACCAAACATCCAAATGCAGGACCCTCCTGAAAAGAAGTACATTAATACTTTTTTTGTCAGGCTTTCCTGGATGAAGGACATCTGAATAGAGGGCATCGCTAGTCAACCCTAGAAGTTAAATAAAAGGACTACCGCTTTGTGCAAAGTCAACAGTGATCATCCTGTTGATAGAATTAATGTGAAATATCCACCACTGACTCAGGCACGACACCCAATGAAGACGATTAACTGCTGTGTCGCTCATATAAAGCAAACACAAACAGGCATTGCAAATAAAATAAAAAGTCAAAACCAAGGCATTTGGTGGTGCTCAGAGTCTTAGTGCGGCATGGAAATGCCACATTATTTGGGCAGGATAATGAAAGGATCCCTCAAAGTGGTGCTCACTGGGCGGCACTTATGTAAATGAGCCGGGAAAAATGAAGGCTTAGCCAACTCCAGGCTTCATTTGAATGCAGGATTGATCTCACAACCGGAAGCCCTGCTGCTCACCAACTGAGTTATATCGCGGCCACAAAGGAAGGATTATAAGTTCTATAAATATTGTATGTTTTCTTTAAAGCAAAGCCCTGTCAACCCTGCGGGTGAGTAGTCTCAGAGGGCAGCCCTGGCTCGGCTCCGAAGCATCAAGAGGCAGAGCTGTCCGTGGTAGAGTGGCCATTTTCACATGAGCTACTGACCTCGTGTTATGCTGCAGTGTGTTCATGTAGACTCTGTGAGAGGCGCAATGATATCTTATTCAAAAGTTTAAAGGCAAAATATCTACCTGCTCACCGAGTTAAGAGTTGAGTGTTAGCATCCCAAGTTAGTAAGCGATAAGGATAGGGTTTTGCCTGGCTAATATGGTCTGTCTCTTAATAAGTGTGTCCTTCCCCATAATGCTTAGTGATCTGTACTCGCAGTACTGTGGTGGTTCAACTGCCCAAGCACACAATCAAAAGGTCGTGAGGTCTAATCCTTGTCAGTGGTTGACAGCCCTTCATCACCCCTCCCAGATCAATGAAAGTGGTGCCAGTTTACGTACTAGATTTACAGAGATTGTCTTATGGAAGGATGGCATTGTCATAGGAACGTGGAATTTCCACTTCCTGGCTCAGGGCCACGTAGAGGCGAGTGCAGCTTATTGGAGCATGGAGGCATATTCACTTTACTTTGGATTACTAATAATATGCCTATGACCAAACCTCCCGGAATGCACGCAGATCTCAGAAAATAAGCAAGTTTGAGCCTGGATAGTGCTTAGATAGCATTTGATATTTGTCCAGAGCACACCTCCAAAATGCCGATGAATGTTCGCATTACATGCGCCTTCTTGAAATAAACTACGATCCACACGCCAGACGAGACGCTGCCAAATCCACTTTACCTTTCTGACACCTCATTTGCATTCCAAATTAATTTCTAATTACATAATAATATTTATACTTAAAATTATAATCAATTAAACTGCCAGGGCAATTCTTTATTTAATTCTCATACATTTCAATTTAAATGATAATCAGCCCAGGACAGTGGAGGCTAATTAATCTACAGCGAGTATAGTAATGCAAACGAACACGTCCCCATTCAGAATCAATTAGAGGGTGATCGTGTGAACATTGGAGGCCCCTATCCTTGACTAGAGACACTTGGATCACGAGGACAGGACGATCACATATTTACAATCACATTATACACAAGGGTGAAGAA